GTTTGTTATTAGGCCATTATTTGCAGGCGATAATGTGATGCTCCGTTAAAAACGGCCTAATTTTTAATTTTGTACAAGTAAACAGTAGAAAATTTCTTTTATCATAATGACCAGTCCATTTAGCAGTGAATTTTCCTTATATTTGTAACTCATTCTATTTTGCTTTTATAAACAAAATTTTATTAGCAGCTAAAGAACGAAATTTGATTGGCAGGAATCAGTTTTATATGAGAGGAACAACTTCCTCGTTTATAACACTGACAAGCGCAGCAGCAGCACTTCTGTAAATGAGAACCACTAACTCTGCCAGCAAACGTCGCAAGAACTCTTAGCAGACAACTCCATATTCGCTGTCTGCATTTCTTGCGTATCGCGTTACAATTCATTTGCGTAGGTCGCGCGTCTCTCCTCCAACAGCGACTATGCCGGCGACGCCGCGGCTGCCGAAAATGCGTTCTTCACCACGAAGGCAAACCTGAGCATAAGTTGAACAAAGCTTGCATCACAAGGTCTTTGTTACGGGAATGATATGCGCTTAAAGGTTTTAAGACAGCATTTGAGCCGCTTCTGGTCTCAACTCAGGCTGGAAAGCTCCTCTAACACGAGCTGACTTTGGCAGTAGAAGCAAAAATATGGCCGAGATGCAGACGTTCAGTAGACGTCGTGCTGAGCTAAGGCAACCAACGTACCCCGTGTTGCAGCTCAGTATCCAAATTCAGTAAATATTACATCTTTATTGCGATTTGTTACAATTACTTTCTCCTTAAATAATTGTTTTAGAATATAAAAGAATTATTTTGACCTGTCCTTAGCTTCATTCTTCAGATTTAGATATTCATCTGATTTCGACTCGAACATGTTTCTTTTAATTAAAGAGTGAATTATCCTTTAGACTAGACGTAAATCAAACCTACAAAATAAGATTCTGCAACAGTTGAGGCATAGATGGCAAATGAAAGCATTGAGATTTGATGTATGATGAAAGTATGACATATATCTGAAACATTTTTAGAAAGCATCATTCATTGTCTTAGTAGTTTGGAAAAAAATCCCTCGATAAACACGTCGGAATTATTCTTAAAAACGTTACATTGAAGAACAGTTGGCTGCAATGATGACGATCATTGAGATTTAATTATTTGGATATTGGAAAATAAACTTTGAGAAAATTTCAAAACCTATTCATAAACCCGGTAAATTTTTAAATATAAATTTAATTCAAGGAATAATTATCATTCTCTGCCTGATAATTGTAAAAAAAAAGACTCAAGGAAAGAGAAATATCTTTTGCAGCTCAAAGGAAGGAGGTTTTCAAAAAAATTTTTTGTTCAGAAAATGTATACTTTTTTTGCATTTTACTAGACCGAAGTTTGTATAATATTGGCAGAACGCACTCGTACAATTAAAAAGGTTTGTATATTCCAAAAATTTCAACTATTTACCAGAAACTTTGGTTAGAGAAGACATGAAGGAAAATTCGAAATATCTTCACAAAATTTTACCCGCCTAATTATTCTCATTTGTACACAAATTTCCAATTACATGACAAAATTACACCATAGGTTCATTTCCTAAAAATCTAACTGCATCCCAATATCGCTCAGGTGCCGGAATATTATATGGCTGACACCTCATTAATCTTCTCTAATGAGAAATTCTTGCGCACGAGCTTTCCAGGTTGGCGGCTTGTCGGCGCTTATTTGAGCTCGGCATAAAGCCATCACCTGAGCGCGCTCCATAGGTGACAACCTCTTCACGAACTTTAGTGGCACATTAAACTGCATAATTCAGACTCTAAATGTTCATGAAAAGGAGTAGCGAATGCAGCGAAATTTAGAAGTAGCAAATAATGTTCCTATTATTTGTATTGTTTTACTTTCGCGATTCTATGAGGCTGGCTATCTGTATATCCTAAATTAAATCGATGCACAAACTTCCTTCAGTACAGCATAGATAGGTACGATTTACTGTGATCGGCCTTTCATCCGTAAATAAGTTAACTGAAGTTGACTTGATTGCTTGATAAACGTAAGACAAGGTATTATTAAGTCCAAGTGTAAGCTGTGATAACATTAGAAACGCGTAGGAAAAGTAGCCTAGAATGTTTGATATTCCAGCACTATCACTGATAGAGAGCGTGATGCTTAGTCCAATCAATAATTTTTGATAGTTATTGAAAATGGCTTGGCAATGGGCGTTAAAAGATCATGAAGAAAATAACGAAACATGATGAAAAACACGAAATTGCGCTAAGTAGAAAATATGCGTTCAAAAGTACTTTTTACTACACTTCTCTTTAACTTCACTTCTTGTCTGTTTGTTTGTCTGTCTGTCTGTCTGTCTGTCTGCTACAAATCTTGTAATCGAAATTTAATACACTTCTACTTATCCTATCGATCTGAAATGTTGCATACTTGTATAAAGTTGGAGACAATGCATGAATCAATTGTCAAAATAAATGATTTTGAAAATTAAAAAAAAAATTTTCAATATTAAAAAATTGAAAAAATAATTTTGTCAGCTACAAATCTTATAACTGATATTTGACACACTTTTACCTGTCTAATTAATCTGAAATTTTGCACACTTGTGTGAAATCAGAGTCAATGCATGAATCAATTAACAGAATAAATAATTTTGAAAATTTACAAAATTTTGATATCTTCAAAAAAATTTGAAAAATAATTTTTTTTTCAATATCTGCAACTAAAATTAGAAATTCATTGTACATGTGTAACATCCAAGACACTGGATTGTTCAGACGTGTTGTCTTTAAAAAGTAATTTTTAAACGCATATTATTTTATATTCTAAGGTATAATATATTTAAGTCTGCTATCATTTGATCGTGTTCAGAAGCAGAAATTGCTTGTGTTCAGTTCAAGACTATAGTAATATGCCCAGTAAGTTTCTATTTATTCTAGGGTGCAATATATTTAAATCTCCTATCGTGTGATCGCGTTAATTAGAAGACATTGTTGTGTTCAGTTTAGGATTATAGTAATAAGCTCAGTAACTTTTGTTATATTATAAGGTATAATATATTTAAGTCTGCTATCGCTTGACCGTGTTTACAAGCAGAAATTGCTTGTGTTTAGTTGAAGACTATAGTAATATGCCCAGTAATTTTTTATTTATTCTAAGGTATGATATATTTAAGTCTCCTATCGTTGGATCGCGTTAACTAGAAGAAATCGTTTGAGTTCAGTTTAAGATTATAGTAATAAGCTCAGTAACTTTTTTATATTCTAAGTTATAGTATATATATTTCTCCTATCGTTTGATCGTGTTCACAAGCTGAAATTGCTTGTGTTCAGTTCAAGACTTTAGTAATATGCCCAGTAATTTTTTTATTTATTCTAGGGTATATTATATTTAAGTCTCCTATCGTTTGATCACATTAAGTAGAATATATCGCTTGTGTTCAGTTTAAGATTATATTAAGCTCGGTAACTTTTTTATATTCTAAGGTATATTATATTTAAGTCTCCTCACGTTTGCTCGTGTTCACAAGCAGCAATTGCTTATGTTCAGCTCAAGACTACAGTAATATGCCCAGTAATTTTTTATTTATTCTATGGTATAATATATATAAGTCTCCTCTCGTTTGATCACGTTAACTAGAAGAAATCGTTTGTACGTGTTCAGTTTAAGATTATAGTAATAAACTCAGTAACTTTCTTATAAGACTTCTCTTTAACTTCACTTCTTGAATTATTGTTTGTCTGTCTGCTACAAATCTTATAATCGATATTTAACACACTTCTACCTGTCCAATCGATCTGAAATTTGGCACACTTGCGTAAAGTTGGAGACAATGCATGATTAAATTTACAGAATAAATAATTTTATCAATTAAAAAAAATTTTTTTTCATTATTAAAAAAATTATAAAATAATTTCGTCTGCTACAAATCTTATAATCCATATATGACACAATTTGAACTGTCCAATTGATCTGAAATTTTGCACAATTGCAAAGTCAGAGACAATGCATGAATCAATTGACAGAATAAATAATTTTGAAAATTTACAAAATTTTGATATCTTAAAAAATTTTGAAAAATATTTTTTCTTTTAAATATTTGAAAATAAAATTAGAAATTCATCGTACATGTGTAACATACAAGACACTGGATTGTTCAGAAGTGTTGTCTTTAAAAAGTAATTTTTTAACGCATATTATTAAAAACCGCACTTCTAAAGAGGCCGGTATCTCCGATGTTACACATGTACAATTAATTTCTTATATTATTTTTAAATTTAATATTTTCAGTTTCAAAGAATTTTATAATCGATTTTTTATGAACAATAAATATAATTGCAAAAAGGATACATTACCGTCTGATAAAATTTTTCTGCAACTGCTTATGAAGTATATAAGATTTCATACAAAATTCTTTTTTCATACAAGACCGAATTAATTGATTACCACAGATTTACCACTTATTCGGTGATTCTATGAATTAATAATTCATGCATTGTCTCCGAATTTACGCAAGTGTGCAAAGTTCAGATCGATTGGACAGGTAGAAGGGTGTTAAATATTGATTATATGATTTGTAGCAGATTGACAATAATAAGTGAAGCTAAATAGAAGTTTGGTAAAAAGGAACAACGCCCTCGCGTATTACGAATGTAATTCAGGTTCCCAATCACACAGGTTACCCATCATCACAAAAACTACTATATCAATCATTAAAACAGAATGCATTTTTTAGTTATCAACTGAAATCGTTCCGTGGATTATGCGCGACAGCGAAGTTATTATAATTTTACGAATTGAATAGGAGGGCACTTTTGCATTTATATTGAAGGGTTGTACCTAAAATGTAAAAATTTAACATTATTTCGAAGAAGTCCACGAGTCTACATGGTTGATCCCTGTCTACTAGCCTAGTCAGACAAACACATTTCGCTTCGCTGAGTAATAATTTTATAAACCTTCATTATTGCACCGGACTTGCCTTCATCCTACATCATAACCAACACAACATCGCAGCCTTCATCCTACATCATAACCAACACAACATCGCAACCTTCATCCTACATCATAACCAACACAACATCGCAACCTTCATCCCACATCATAACCAACACAACATCGCAACCTTCATCCCACATCATAACCAACACAACATCGCAACCTTTAATATCCCACATCATAACCAACACAACATCGCAACCTTCATCCTACATCATAACCAACACAACATCGCAACCTTCATCCTACATCATAACCAACACAACATCGCAACCTTCATCCCACATCATAACCAACACAACATCGCAACCTTTAATATCCCACATCATAACCAACACAACATCACAACCTTCATCCTACATCATAACCAACACAACATCGCAACCTTCATCCTACATCATAACCAACACAACATCGCAACCTTCATTCTACATCATAACCAACACAAGTATGCGGCCTAATCATAAGAATACTTACTTCTCTTCCCCCGAGCGATCTCGGTCTTTGTCTAGCATCTCATGCATTATAGATCAGGATTATTCCTGTAATACCATATGGGAACACGAGGGAGAAGTTGGCCAGCCTCAGCAAGCTCTGAAAGTACCCAGGGATCTCTGGCCAGGTCCTCAAACATAATTTATGAAAGATCAGCCATCGTACAGAGATTTGGTGCGGGACACATTGACGGATGATGGCTGCGCCAAGCGACCATGTCTGACGAAAAACGTCGAGTCGTGCAGGAGTTAGTCTGGCATGGCAAAAGCCTTATTGTTTGGTGTGTACAGGACAAAAGATTGCCCAGGCGAACGCCAAGAAAAATCGGCCAAGGATCACGTAGTCACAGCGTGTGTTTATTGAGGCGGTGATAGATGGTTCCCAGAGCCTTTGCTGTAAATGAAAAACGCTTTGCTTCTCGTGCACGAGCTTTGGGGAACGCTTGGCTGGCTCCTCTGATCCCAGCATCACGGAAATGTATCACAAATAAATATCGAATATTCACGAAGAAAGATTTCGTACGCTTCAATCGTTAGAAAAACTGCAAGCAAATAGTACCACAAACTCCACTCCAACATTGAAAGAATGAAATAGTTTCGTGTTGAGAAGATTGAGTAAGGATCGAGTAGCAATATAATACTCTAATAATAATATGAACGCCTATAATGAACTAAAATATCATTGCAAACTTTAGAATCACATTCTTGCCTGCATTATTATTATAATCAAACCAATTGAACAGATTTAAGCCTAGCAAACCCAAACTGCTAAGTTAGACTTAATTTCAAGATAATTTCGAATTACTTTAATATACCATTCTTTGGCTCTTTACTTTGCGCCGTCGACTACACCCAATAATTGTCCTTCGAACGAAAAAAATAACTAAGCGCAGTGATGCATTGCATCTAAATACAAGCATTTAATCTCTGATTGAAACTATCTTTATAATCATTTATACCCGTTCCTCAAATTGGCTCCTATCTATGTAGCTTTAAATACTGGTAGAAAACTATAATTTTCATGCCCAAAGTCTTCCACCAAATTAGAAATCGATTGTCAAACAAATCTGGTACTATATTAATTGAGATTCACACAAATCAGCGCAGGGGTAATTCTTTCGTCGACACTTGGCTCGCTCAAACCCACGAGGAACTTTAAAGATTTTTCCTACGACCGTTTGAGTTCCCTAACGAGACCGTCTCGTCATTGTTAATGAAGCCGTGCAAGAACGACGTACACAAAACTGCCATTAAGAAGGGAAGGGCAGGCGAGAAAATAAAATATCACAAATAAAATCATCAAGTAGTTCTTGCGGTGGTTCAAAACATTTCCTTCGCCCACAGTTTTGCTTAAATAAAAGCGACCGTTTCTGTACCTCAACCGGCATCGAAAATCCATTTACAGAATCGGGGCAGTTCCGGCAAGGCGTGCAGAGCATCAGACGGAGAATAGAAAGGCACCAGGACATCTTTTCGCGTACCGCAAAGGTCCGTCCCCGAATATCAGCGAGAAAAGCTTTGGTGCTCTAGTTGCCGTCGTTACGGTACGCACAACTTGAGTTTTATGACGCGACACAGAGCCGCGGGCTTACGCTTGATTGGTTCTCTTTACAAAGTTTTTCTCCGTTGAGCGAGTAATAGAATAGACAAGAATCCTACTGGACTCATATTCCTTGCTCGTTCGAGAAGATCAGGCTGTTTTACAAGCCCGATAAGGGGGAGAAAACGCAGAATTTGGTTTGACAATTCGTTCAAAAGGGTTCTTTATGAAATGCGACTATGTGGCATGACAGGCAATGAATTAAATTCTCGAAAAGTTCATACTTGCAGCTTTCGAGAATATATTTTTAATTATTAGATAGATTGGACTGATACCCAAATTTGAGTCAACCGAAAATTAGTTACCTTAACTGTTTTTAATTAGCCGGCAAGCTGTATTAAAAAAATTAGCTATTCAACAGGCAAACAAAATAGAAAAATTAAGTTACCTCGACGACTTAGTATCGTGTTGATCCTTAATACTTATTAAGCGAAAAAATTAAAGGAAAATGTGTTATACACTTATTATTAATGTCTTCAAGTGATAAATTTCTTCATTTTCCAGCTACTGTTGAATATACAACTGGGGAAATATGTTGTAGAATGACGTGGCTTAACCCTTACCAAATCCCAGACCTCTGGAAATCAATGGTGTCAAAGTTAAAGTCTCGAGCTCCTGACGATATTTTTTTTCACTATTGTTCAGTAGTGTTGTGGCGTCACGCACGTTGGAAAGTTTAATTTCAAAATTCTAGTCGCAAGTTATCAAAACATTTTTGCTGACAATGACATGGGGCTGATGTAGAATTTCTCACCGGTTTTACTATATTTCAAATATGCTTCTCTATTGTCGAAACAGGCTAACGACGGTCATCACTAATTACCTGTCCAGAAGACTTTTCGTAATCAATCCAAACTGATGTCTCTCCACGTCCCATCCTCTTCAAAGTTGTTAAACTTCAGCAAGAACGACTCAAACTTTACTCAAAATTCTACCAAATGCAACTCTTCTTATGCACTTCATTTTTGCTGTCGTCGAAGATGTTGTGGTTCGCTGGCCAAAATACCCAGACCTAGACGAACAAAATTTCTGAACAAAGAAGTGGTTTTCAAAACATGGACCTGAAACTTTGGTGCGGAAAAACTTAGGCGACACAGATGGGATGTTGTCACAAAATCCTTGATTTAGGAACGCTTTTTATCGACCGATTTCCAGCGCCTGACCGACAAAAAAGTTGGTCCAGAATATCTTCCAAACACAAAATAAAACTTTTCCGAGCAAACTTGCCTTCCAAGCAAAGCGACCGTTGTTTAAGACATGTAAAAGATAAGAATATCATCTTTTATAAAGCTATGTTTCGGTATTTATTAAATAAAGGCCTTCTTTACAACACTCAGGCAATTCAATGAAAATTCGTTCAAAAATAGTGCAAGATTGATAATCTGCCTAAATTAATCAACTTACTCACGTACCAATAATTGATTATATGATTTATTATGTTATAAAATAATTATTATAGAATACTATGTGCAGTAGCAATTATGGTATCAATAAAGTCACTTATTACTTGGTTATTTTTGTAGTTACAAAAATCCAGTCGTAAATGGAACAATTTCGATGAACAGTTATTTGATTTTAGGCATGATCATAATAGTAGTCATCCTTGAAAACCTAAAATAACAACTTAACATCACTGCCGCGCATATCCCTCCATTTCCCCAAGGTTCCAGCTTTTCACTGATTCAATCAAGTTAAATAATAGGTAGTATACCCCAGTCGAGTTCACTTCGCTTCCACAATGTATATTCAACTTCATCTCCAAGTCTATGACAATGTTTAATTCATTTTTAAATTGAATTCGTTAATTATTCTGCAAATAAAACAGATGTCTGTGGATCTGCAATATAATCGAGGTCACTTTACCTGCTGAACAAATTGTTGGACACGCGTGATCGGCTGCTGTACAGTCCTCCTCCCTTGCCGGACTGTCATCATGAATAATGCAAAGCTCAAGCTGACCGACAGCTTCTGTCACATCGCTGTTGCCAAGCTGTGCCTTCAACCTGAACATCCAAGGCCTTCCTCTGCCACAGCAAGGAAGCTAAGAAATGTCTTTAAAAGTGGTAAAGCAACTTTAAATTAGCTAATTTTCGGACTAAAGAGCCAGTTTGAAATCAAACACGAATGCATAATGTTAATGAATTTCCAAAACGCAAAATGACGTCTAACAATTTTACAAAAATTTTGTCTGAGTACAAAATTGTTCTAACCTATAAAAAACGTCAAGAAAGGATTGCAGAATAATTTCATTTTCCCGAGTAGGCTGGTGGTAGCGAAAAATGGGTTTTAATGTAAATTAAGCAGCTTGAACAAATGGTACTTGCTTAACCGATCTAAATAAGATTGGAGGGAAGAATAGAGGTTGAATGCAATGTAAAATTTTTCGAAAAAGTCTCCAAATTTGTTAACAGAGATTAGAGAATCGTTGGCTGTTGAATATTTTCACGGAGTGGTCTACGTAGTTGCTAAGTTACTAATCAGCCGTCGGGAGGGGCAGTCGTAGGCCACAAATTTCACTCTTAAATGAGCCCTGAAGCCAACGCCCAGATTCACCATGCTTTTACTTCACCCAGCTTCAGAGCTAGAAGCCGCTGATTATGCTTGAACTCCGTAATCCAGACAAGCGACACACTGCCGAAAGATAATAGCGCCGTAGGTCTTCATCTAATGCTTAAGCATGCTCGCTCATAAGCAGGCAGTTCCTCGTCCGGCTGTACCTACTCCGCCCTAACCTCTTCTGGTCTAACCTCTTCCCGCTGTCTCGGCTCGCACCCTTCTTGAAGCCTAAGACTGGCTCTACCAGCCCACTTGGTCCGTCTTTCTAACTTCCTGCAGCCAATGAGGTTAGGTTAGGTCCGCTCAGGTTTGTTTTGGGGGGAGAAATGTTGCAACTTGTGTAGGTTAGGCCGGAAGAGGTTTGGCCAGATGCAGTATGGCCATGCTTACCTTTACCAAGCTCATTTTGTAGCTGTAGACATCCGGCACTTGACTTCATGGGCTGTTATGCCCTTCAGCGTTCTTACCTACGGAATGAAATTTTAACTAAATGTGATGTTTGAGCTGGCCTACCTTCAATTTAAAATTCTAGAAATGAATAGGAGTAAACACAGTAATTCATTCCATAAATATATATAGAAATGAAAAGGAGTAAACCAATAACATCCGTATTACATTCCTTCGAAATATTCCCACTACAACATCTTGTCCTATCCTAGCCGCAACCTATACAACTTGTCAACTTCTCATTAAACTCTTTTCCCTCTTGTATACAGTGAGTATATGTATCCATGGATTGGCTTATGAGTACTGATATGCATACGTAAATTTACTGAATATTGTCACATCAGTAGGTGGAGTTCAGATTTCG